TTAGTAACTCCCCCCTCCCCCAAAAAAAAGGGTTGGTTTGGGAAGTAGATTTTTGGTGTTTTTTTAAAATAAATAAAAAAACTAAAATATGAGATAAAAAAATAAAAAAATTATGAAATAATCTCAAAAAAGGCTTTGGTTGCGTGGGAACTTAATATCTAATAAAGAGCTCTATATTTTAAGTGGAGTAACCATGGTAGAGTTTGGAAAGTAATTCTATTTAAAAGTAATTGAACATTAGAGTGCTTGAAAAGTAATTCTTGAAAACAAAATTTATTACGCCTATATTTGAATCATAAATTTGAATAAAAATTTAAAAATAAAAAGAAAATATACAGATAAAATATAAATATAATTACATTTTATCAAAAATTTTCCAGCTCTTTCCCAAATTCCTAACAAATAAGCATAGGCTATATGCATATAGTTCCGATACAACAGGTGATGGTCTCACTCTAAAATCACTAATAAGTTACAAATAATAACTTATTTTGGACAAGTTAATTTTTAAAATAAAATTAAAAAAAATTAAAACATGAATGATTAAAGTGAAAAAAAAAATTATTTAAAGACCAAAGTAAAAAATGATGACTAAACATAAGGAAGAGAAAGTATAATTTCAAATAAACTAGATAACAAGTATATAATTTAGGGGTGCTCGCAGTTCGGTTGCGGCCTGAGAACCTTTAATCCGTCGTTCGCCCAAAACTAGGTGGATTAGAGAAAATCAATCTGTAACCGTCCGTTAGATTGGAGGATGCGAATTGACAGATGGAGGCGAATTGATTTGATAGTTTACATTTTATATATTTTCAACACAATAAAACCTATCGACATAAATTTTTTATTATTTTTTTGGGATAATAATCCAATCTGCCTTATTAAAAATGACTACAAACATGGATAATAATCCAACAAATCGTTAACAATGACTGCAAACTAGGGGTGACCGTAGTTCAATTGTGGCTTGGGAACTTCCAATCCACTATCCGTCCAAAACTAAACAGATCGGAGAAAATTAATTTGTATCAATCTGTATCCGTTCGCTTGTCATCACGGATCCGTCCAAAATGTAGCGGATCGGTTCGCTTCAGTCCATTTAGGCGAATCGATATATCCATTGAGCACCCCTAATATAATCAAATTGGATAGTCTAGTCCATTTAACAAATGAGAAAATTGTTAAAAAGTATAATCTAACAATTTTTTAAGGCATTAGACTCCATAAATATTTTTTGTTAGTGAGATATCCCCATTTTGTGAAATAATTTAGTGAGAAATTTATTTATTATTTTGGAGAAAATTTTGTTTCTAATTTTACTCCTTAACCTATCTATTTAATTTTTTTAATTATTTGTTCAAATATTTTATTTGTTTAATTTTTTTGATGATTTGTGCAAATATTTTTTTATCTGTTTAATGTTTTTGACTATTTCTCAAATTTGTATCTATTTGTTGGAATATGTATATGCTGAAATTCCTTATCTGTTCAAATATCTATGCAAATTTTGTTATTTGTTCAATTTCTTCACTTATCTGTTTAAATCTATATGTTTAAATATCTTATCTGTTAAAATTTTGAACAAATTTTATTATTTGTTCAAATTTTGAACAAATCTATCATATCTGTCAATTTTTTTTTTTTAATTTATTGCAATATGTTTCATCATCATCATCATTGATGATGCAACGGTTCTGAAAGAGGATGGGTCAGGTTTGTCTACGCTTCTAATGGGTTTACTTGCATTGTGTTGGGAAGCCATGGACCTGGTTGTTACCATCCACCCAGACGTAGAAGATGGGTGAGGACGGGGTTCCCTCCAGTGACAATGAACACAACTGTCAACCGGAGTTGGAGCTTTCCATAAATAGCGTCAACTCATGATGTAACGGTTTCGAAGGAGGATGGATCAGGTTGGTCCACGCTTCTAATGGGTCTACCGGCATTGTGTTGAGAAGCCATGGACTTGGTCGTTACCATCCACTTCGACGTAGGAGATGGGTGGGGACGGGGTTTCCTCTAGTGACAATGAACACAACTGACGGTGCCAATTAATGATGCAACGATTCCGAAGGAGGATGGGTCAGGTTGGTCCACGTTTCTAATGGGTCTGCCGGCTTTGATGTCCATGGAGGGTGCCTGCAAAAAGGTCCAAGGGGGGGAGGTAATCTCCCAGTGGACACTCCGACGATTGAGTTAGAATATAATAAATTAATTGTGTCGTGAGAGAAGAAGAGGATGAAGAACTTAACCTTTAACGCATCTGTGAAAACTTCTTTATATCTTTTGCTCAACATTTCCTTGTCCATTCCAGACTATCATGTTGGTTGAAAGTCTATATTTTAGCTCGCATCGTTCATGGTGAGTCTATTGTCCCTGTCGTGAAGGGGTTGTTGTATGTAATGTTGTGAGAGCCTCATTAATTATTGATGTATGGGTGCAATAAGTCTGCAAGATCTTTGTCTGCTTACGTGGTTAGGTCTCTGCTTAACAGGTGTTTGAATGTTATTAGTCCTGGCCCAGTGTTGATTTCTCAAAGTTATTAGGTTTTGATCACTGGGATGTGAACTAGGCCTGGATCTGTGGGTTGAGCCCTCTTGGGCGCCCATTGGTATCAATTATCAACAACAAATCCCCCCCCCCCTGGAATTAAAACTTCTGGATCTGATTTGGAACCCTTCAAAACTTCTGGATCTGGTTCGAATCTGGTGTGAAACCCTCAGATCGTGGACTATCCAAGCGAGCTCATCCCTCTAATCCTTGGACGATCAATGGTTAAGATGCAACAAATAGTGGTTTCTAGGGTAGTAAAATAGCTTTGAGGAGTTGGAAAATTCTAGGGCCGTCGTTGTTAGTGCCAGAGATGAAGTAGGCAATTCGGGTGAAGGAGAGAAACCCTAACCCTCTGGATCCGTCGGATCTTAGCCAGAGCCACTAGCCGTTCATCTCCGCTGTTGATGCCCAATCAGAATCTGTGTGGTGGTGGTGGTGGTGGTGGTCTTCACAGAAGATGGAGAAGACTTGGGATTCTTATCGAAATCGGATTTAAAGGAAGATGATGACGAATCATCGCTCTGAAGCTTCTCAATGATCGTCTCCATGAACGACACACATTTGGAATCGGACTCACTATGCACAACCATTCCACAAACCTCCGATTCCAAACCTTAGAGTTCCAACGAAGACAAGTAGCGAAGAGAGAGAGAGAGAGAGAGAGATGAGTCGTAAGAGAATGACGAAATGGTTGGTTTGGAAACAACAATGACATATCTCACTAATTTGGGGTATTAATAGATCACTAATGAGGTAGAAATTTGAAAAAAAAAAAAAAATTTAAGGTTAAAAATCACATCAGTCAGTGGGACCTACTCTCTAGAGTTCCTAATTTAGAACTCCCAAACATTTTTCGTTTGAAAATAATGTTATATATACATATAGAGAGAGATAGTTTAGTCATTTTGTGAGAATTTATCCTTATGGATAAAATATGTAGAGTGTTTTTAGATCAAAAAAATTAAAATTAGTTTTATGAACCCTTCACAAATTGACTCCTCAATTTTAATAATAACTTTTATAGGCATTATTTGTTAATGATTATATAAAAATATATTAGATAAATTACACTTTACACCTCTGTACTTTATACAAAATCTCACTTTAGTCCCTACACAACAAATTGTGACACTTAACCCCTTGCACTTTTGGTCAAGTGTCACGTTGGCCCATCTATTAATAGTGACGCTAACAGAAGTTATCCTTTAGGGAGCTAAGTGTTACAATTTTAATGTATAGGGACTAAAATGAGATTTTGTGTAAAGTGTAAGGGTGCAAAGTGTAATTTATCCTCACATGTTTTTCACGTGACTAATCTCTGTTAACAATGAGGCTAACAGAAGGATCAAAGTGACACTTGATCAAAAGTACAGGGGGTTAAGTGGCACAATTTAAAGGGTAGAGATCAAAATAAGATTTGATATAAAGTATAAGAGTGCAAAATGTAATTTACTCTAATATATTTTTTTGATACATGATTACATAAAATATTTATAAAGGGTTCATGTGTCAACATGATCCACGTCTCCAAAGTTCAATGGAAAAAGCTTGTGAATGGACTAATAGAAACTGGTTTTTTAAAATACCCTTAATCAAATTATTTGTGTATCATTATTAAATTAAATAAATTATTTTTTTATGAAGGTCAGTCCTTTTCGATTTTAATAATAATAAAATTCGTAGACATTGTTTGTTAGTGATTATATAAAATATATATATTTTTTGGTACATGATTTTATAAAATATGAGTAAAGTGTCAACATGATCCTTGTCACCAGTGTTCAATGAACTAGTTGGTGTTGTTTGGGAAGAGTTCATTTGGGTTCTTTTGTCTCTTTGAGCCACAAAAGATAGAATAGGCTATTTGAGGCACAACAGACAAAACATCACATCCAACACATAATCATTACACTCTTCTCTCACAAAAGAAGTAAAAAAAGTCAAAAAATCCTTCTCAAACCAAGCTTTTGAGCCCAGGCTCAAATAGCAAAAATAGCCAAAAAATTAAAAAGTCAACTCACTTCCCAAACAGAGACGAAGTTGAATTCATAAGTCATCTAAATGCTAGCTTTTTGTTTATTGCTATTTTTACATATATATTTTTTTCTTTTTTAATTTTTAATGGCGACTTGTACATATTTTTGGTCTTGGTTATATATAGAGAGCAAATGAGAAAGTCTCACTTAATGCTGGTGATATATATAGAATACTCTTTTGTCATTTTTTTTTTTTTTAATTTCCAAGAATACCAATGACAGGTTGAAAATTACCCATTTAAAAAATTGATTCAAATGTTAAAAATTTCACAAAATGATCTTCATTCTTAAATTATATATATTCTTAATTCTTTCTAGCAGTGTTCAATGAAAGAGCCAACTGTTGAGGAATCTTTTAGAAGGGAAGGCCAAGCTTCTTTGTAGGTTACAAGAATCTCTCTCTCTCTCTCTCTCTCTCTCTCTCTCAAATATTATTTTCTTCTACACCAACACTCTTTGAATTCTCTCTCCAAAAATTCAACCATTATATTTCTTCTTCTTCTTCTTCTTCTTCTCTCTCCTATCAACAAATTTTACTTTAATCTGTACCAACATTCTTCCATTTCTCTTAAAAATTCAACCATTATATTCCTTCTCTCCAAAAAAAAAAAAATTCAATCTCTCTCTCTCTCTCTCTCTCTCTAACAAATTACAATTATGAATGATAAAGAAAAACGCCCATTTATCACAAATTTGGGGTTCTTCAATGGCCATTTGTATCTCCATAGCCTAATCAGACATCTTCTCTTCTTTAGTTTCGGTTTAGTCATCGGTATCTCAGTCAGTTTCTATCTCAAAGATCTACCCATAACCTTTCTTCGCCAACAACTCGCCGTTGAAACACTTTTTCAACCATTACCACCTCAAGATTTTCTCCCACAACCTCAAACACCTCATGAAATCTTGACACAAACACAACCAATCATAGAACCTAATCATGAAAATCATCCCATTCCAGCTAAAAAAACGACTCGAATCGGCATAAAAGATTTTATAAAGCCACATGCAATGCATGACATGGAAGATGAAGAGTTGCTATGGAGAGCTTCAATGGTTCCTCATGTTCATCAATTTCCGTTCAGGCGTGTCCGAAAGATCGCTTTCATGTTCTTGACACGTGGGTATTTGCCATTGGCTCCTCTTTGGGAGAGATTCTTTGAAGGGAATGAAAACTTGTTCTCCATTTATGTGCATGCCCTACCATCCTTCAATGGAACAGTGTCCAGTGAATCGGTGTTTCAAGGCCGGAGAATCCCTAGCAAGGTTAGTCAAAACAAAAAAATCATCATTTTAATGTTTAATTCACAATCCTCCATTGTTTCTTGATGCATGAACTATTATTCTTTTAATATTATTTTAGGTTTCTTGATGACTGATTTTGAAGCTATATTTATGTGCCATGAAATTGTTTGGTTTATGTTATGCCTTTAAATTGCGTAACTTAAGCAATGCCAGTGAATAGCATCTTTTTTTGATAGGCTGTTATTAAAAACTAAAACATACTTTTTATTAAGAATATTAATGAAACATTTAGCTTTTGCCTTCAGGAGAAACATTTTAGAATTTAGCCAAATGTCAAAAGTGAACAGAGCGTAGCAGAAGAGCTAAATTGGACCAATTGGAGAAGTTAGAAAGCGTATTCGAAAAATATTCAAAATCTAAGGGCTTCTCATATAATTTATTCTCATAATATTGATGTTCATAGTGATTAACAATATTATTTTGCCTTCAACTTTTATAGAATTAAGTGCTTGTTTGACATGCACTAAAAAAGTATATTTTTTTTTATATACATACATTTATTTAGGTCAAATCAATCAACATCTATCAACATCTCTTTTTTACTTTTCTACCTATTTTCTCTACTTTTCTATACATTTTTTTTATAAAAATTCAAAAAGTCCACTTATTTAGAACATTCCAAACCACCAAAATCACTTCTTCAGAATTGGACTTTTCGTGTTGGGTGCAATGCTTAGAAATAGCCAAATTTGGCTTCACCATTTTGGATATTTAAAGACTTATATTAATAGAGAGTACCTCAGTATCAAAAATTTGGAAAAGATTATAAAAGTTTAGTATGAATTTTAAATTTTAGAAGATAGTTTTAAGGGTATTTTAGGTAAACGAAAAAATTAAAAAGCATTAAATTATTCTACATTGGATAGTTTAGTAATCGGTGAATGTCATTTTGTCAACATATCTATGTGCCTTAATCAAATCAGTCCAATTTGTATGGTTTGTTGTATAGTTGTAACTACTCTAACAACAGGCAGTCTGAGAATAATAATAATAATATTTTAAGATCACAAAGTTAGTACAAAAACATTTTTAAAAAATTAACAAAAAAAGACATAATTGTCAATTTAGTTTATTTTATTTTAGTTTTTCGTCCTTCTAAGTTTAGTAAAATTTAAAAGGGTAAATTTTCTAAATTGTTTTAAGTTCATTAAAAACGAATAAAAATTAATAAAAGTCAATAAAAAATTAATTCTAAATCACGTCTTATCAAAAACTTTTCATTTTGATACAAAATTAAGAAAAATGATAAATTACAAACACATCTCTTGAGATTTACTTAAATTACAAATTACCTTTTGTAGTTCTAGAAATTACATTATGCCCCTAAGGTTTCTAATTTCATAACAAATAGATTCTTTTATTAATAAATCATCAAGTTATTTAACACTTTTTAATAATGTTAAAATTTTATTTCAATTAATAATTCAGATAATTTTATTATTGTATAAGTGAACAGTTAGAAATTTCACTTTTTCAATTAATTCTGTTAAATAAAACATTTTGACATGGAGGTATTTATAATTTTCCATATCACAAGGGGTAATTCGTATTTTAAACAAATCTCTAGGGATGTATTTATAATTTACACTAAGAAAAATCCATTGGAAAAAGGACTGTGCCAACTAAAATGAAAAGGAAAAAAAAAACCGAGAACGATGGACCGTCTAATTTATGCTAATTAAAAAAAAAGTAACAAAAAAAGATATAATTGTCAAATGCAAGAGTGTAATTTTCTAGATTTCTTAAGACTTTTGATCAAAAAGAATTTTGTACAATTTGGATAATCCAAAATCAAACAATTCTATTCAATGAAAGACTGACTCAGGATCCAACAATCACGGGGGCTTCTATTTCCATTTTCTCTAATTACTACAATTTTATTCTAAAATAAAACTTTAAAGAGCCCACATTATTTTTTTTTTAGTTCAACTTCTAACAGCTTTATATATTTAAAAGCCAACCATCTTAGCTAGCTTGCCTTTGATTATGAAGCTGTCCAAAATCCTCATCTTTTGACAATTAGTACAAATAAATTTTAAAGTTCTTTAGCTAAATTTGTGGGGACAATGTTCATTATGTGTACTTGCAACTCACAGCATTTCTGGCTTTCAAAAAGAGAAAAAACCACTAAGCCAACAAAATGAAAAAAAAAATACCTGAAATTGTAGCATATTATAGAAAGCATCCATTTCTTGCAATAGTCATCGTTGATAGGATTCCCCCAAACGTGCACAATTGCCTTTCCCAACACTCTATGTGACCAACTTCACTTTTATTAGGCTTATGTTGTGTTTGGTTGGAAGATTTAATGAGAAATTTAGAAAGTGAAAGGGAAAAGATGTGTGAAACTAAATGAAATGTAAGTTTATTTTATTTGCATTTCACCGACCTTTTCTATTTATCTTTTCAAATCCCTACTCAAACCCTCCAACCAAACACAATATTAATATGAGCACATAATCCGTGCATTGAAAATTATATAGAATATTTATTGTGTAATTGAGATTCATTTAAGATATAAGTCATTACATTCATATAGAAATATCGCTACTTATAGAATTAATAACAATGATGTTTTATTATATTGTTTTTAACAATGTACCACATTTTAAACGAATGAATACTCTCTATCAAGACTGATTATTTGATTCGTCTCATCATATTGCTTAGATTCTACTCCTTATATACACCCCCAAAAGAGATTTCTTTTTCATTCCTCTCTCATGTGAAAGGTGTGAAAAGGTTAAAGAAAGGAATCGAAGTGTCACAAAGAAATAAGTACAAAAGTGAGCCGAAGCATATACAAAGTTTTGGGCCTTGACTTTTAGTCTTTAATTGGGCCTTATTTGTTTCTATTTAGTCTTTATTTATTTTAGAATTGGATTTTTGGCCTGGCCCAATGGTGATATATATCTAGTAAAAGAAATAGTAGTATATTTCCAGATGGATTGTCACCCTCCTAAGAATTGCTGCATATTTATTGATAATTAAGAAAAAAAACTTAAAAAATTAATTTTGAATTCAAAATTTAATAATGTGGTAGTACTAGGAGAATGAGACAGAATTTGAACCAAAAAAAGAAAGAATAGAGGATCCTAATTCCCCTGGACCTGTAGTGTAGTACTGATACGTATTGGGTTGTCCTTTTCAGTGTTTGTTTGTTTTACAACTTGTAAATAGGGTTTATGTTCAAAATAACAATAAGAAGAAGAATAAAAACAACAACCATTCTGTTAAATGGTTTACCAACTAACTACACATGGGTGTGAATCATACTAATGTAGAGTTGATAAACAATTCAATAGAATGACTAGTGCCTTTAAGCAATTCAATTGAGTGGCATATCATTATTAATTCTAAACTACAATGCCCTTCTTGTTAAAAATTTAACATGAATTTTTCTCAATAATGTAGCCAGCAGAATGGGGAAAAGTCAATATGGTAGAAGCAGAGCGTCGCTTACTAGCTAATGCTTTACTCGACTTTTCAAACGAACGTTTTGTTCTCCTTTCTGAATCATGTATCCCCCTCTACAACTTCTCAACCGTCTACTCTTATATCATGAACTCAAACAAAACCTTCATTGAGGTCTATGACTTACCAGGCGCAGTAGGCAGAGGGCGGTACAATCACAAGATGAGGCCAATAATCAGAATTGAGCAATGGCGAAAAGGGTCTCAGTGGTTCGAGATCAACCGTGAGCTTGCCATTGAGATTGTTTCCGACCGGAAATATTTCCCGTTGTTTCGGAGATATTGCAAGCCTCCATGTTACTCAGATGAGCACTACGTGCCCACATTTGTGTATATGAAATTTGCTCGAAAAAATTCAAACAGGACTTTGACTTGGGTTGATTGGGCAAAAGGCGGGCCCCACCCGACTAGGTTTGTTAGAACAGATGTGACACCTGATTTGTTGATGAGAATGAGGAATGAAGGACACTGTGCATACAATGGGAGGAGAATCAGTATGTGCTACATGTTTGCTAGGAAGTTCTTGCCTAGTACTCTGACTAGGTTAATGATGTTTGCATCAAAGGTCATGTTTTTCTAAACAATGTTTAGGTTTTTGTTTTTATTTGTGTTTTTTTGTTTTCTTTGGTTAGTCATTTAGGGCACAGTTTAAAAGCACCATTTTTTTTTTTGGGTCCAAATTGGACCAATTTATTTGAACATAAATTTGTTAATTTATGTCAATTATTTTGAAAGGTCTTCATGATGTGTGTTGATTTTTATACAATGAACCCAAAAAAAAAAAAAAAACTAACCAACTCTCTCTTTACAAATTTTATCCATTTTTTTTTTTTTCAGTTCTACATTAATCTATGCAACAAATTCGCTATGTAAATGTAGAAATTATTGTGTTAAAAATGAATCCAATAGAGAAGATTAGATTGTATTGTTGAGTCCTAGTGAGCCCACCAAAGGATTTATTTTGATAATCTTATTTATTCAATTTTTAAGTTTCTATGTGTAAATCATTCATAAATAAAAAAAATAAAAATAAAATTAAGCTAATTCCATATCATAGTCATACGAATTCATCACATCAGTTTCAATTTATTTATTTTTTTTTTTAAAAAAATTCAATCTGTATTGAGTTTGCATAAAATTAAAAAATGAAAAAAAAAAAAATATGACAAAATTTCTTTTAGTGATATTGGGTTCACCATTTCATGGAAATTCTAAGTTATGACTGGCTACTCCTAAGCTTGGGACTTAGGAGTTTGCTCCTCTTTAGGTCTTAGGTTCAAAACCTCTTAGGTGCTATCAATTTTTGTGTTGGGCCAGTTCATACGGAGCTTTGCTCTGGCTTTAAATGAGCCCCTTGCTAGTGGACGGTGGGATTAGTCCTCCAGGAATTAGTCGAGGTGCGCACAAGCTGGCCCGGACACCCTGAGTTATCAAAAAAATGACTGGCTACTCCCACCTGGCCCTCTCTTTGGACCCACAAGAGTAATTTCAACGAACAGAGGCTAAGGTTTCACTTAGGAATTGATTTTATTTATTTATTTATTTATTTTTATGAAAAGATATATAAAAAAAATAAGAGTAAATTACAAATAAATTTTTTGAGATTTACTTAAAATCCAAATCATTCTCTATAATTTTGAAAATTACATTCCGCCCATTGAAATTTTTAATTTCATAACAAATAACTATTTTATTAATAAATTATCAAGTCAATTAACAATTTGTAATAATATCAAAAATATATTTCAATTAATAATTACTTGAATTTTATTATGAGAAAATTACAAATACACCCCTTGAGATTTGTTTAAAATATAGATTGCCCACTGTGGTTATGAAAATTACAAATATTTCATTGTCAGAATTTTTTTATTTAATAGAATTAACTGATAAAATAAAACTTTTAACTGCTCTCCCACACAATAATAAAATTACCTATATAAATTGTTGATATCATTGAAAACTATTAATTGACTTGATGATTTATTAATAAAAAGGGTCAATTGTTATGAAATTCGAAACATCAAGGGGCAAGATGTAATTTCTAGAACCACAGAAAACAATTTGTATTTTAAGCAAATCTCAGAGAGTGTATTTGTAATTTACTTTTTTATTATTGTAAAAGAGAGTAGTTAAAATTTTCTTTTTTCAATTAATTTTGTTAAATAAAAAATTTAAATAATGGGGTATTTGTAATTTTTTAAATCACAGTAGGCAATTTGTATTTTAAATAAATCTTAGAAGTATATTTATAATTTAATTACAAAATAAAGAGAATTGATTAACTTTTTTATATTGACTTTTTAATTTATTTATTTTTATTGCTTTTTTAACCAATTGCCAAACATAACCTAAAACTTCTATTCTATGACACATAGAATTAAAACACCAAATTGGCATAAAGACCCCTTTTTTTTTTTTTTTTTTTTTTTATAATTCTTGTCCTTTTGAAAGACAAATTAGATAGTGAGGGGGCTATCACCAAATTGGTGTTCTTTTTTCTCTTTATATTAATATATTATTATTTTGTCTCAATTGATGTCTTCTTGTATATTTGTCATTATTGTTGTTTTATTATGATGCATTTTCTTTAAAGATGATTAAAAGCCGATGTTTGGATTTTACATTCAAATATTTAGATTTAGAAATCGATCCATATGAAAAAAAAATAAGAAATAAAACTCCTTGTCACACTATGTAATAACCTTTTAATAAATCAAGTCAAATTTTAAACACTTAGATCTCGTTTGGCATGCAAATATTTTAGTTAAAAAGTCAAAAAATTATTAAAAAAATCAAAAAATTCATAGCTTATATAAAAAATCAAATATTCATTTTTCCGTCTACTTTTTGCACATTTTTTAGTAAAAAATCAAAAAAATCATTCCAAATATACTAGTTTTTTTACTTCATATTTTAGCTAAAAAGCCAAAAAATTATTAAAATAGCATATTCCCAAATGAGGCCTTATTTTATAATTATTCCATAACAGATTATTAAGATCTGATAAATACATGGTGCTTTCTCAAATCTCTTATATATATATATATATATATATATTTATTTATTCCAAAATATTTTCATCCTTAAGATATTTTATTACACAACTAAAGGAAGAACTCAGCTGGAGAGCATCGGCAGAATAGATTAAGCCCGAACAACTTGTCACAGAAAGATAAGAATCTGGCAGTGGTTCCTCTACCCGGGGCACTCCGACGATCAAGTCAGTAATCGAATATCTCTCATAGATTGCAAATTGTACTTAACTCACAAGAAATAAAAATATATCATACATAAAAAACCTCCCTTAGACCCACGAGGGTGCCCCGCTTATGTAGCCAGCAATGATCTGATCCCTATAGAAGCCTTATTTCAGTAGACTCAGGCTCAATACTTATCCTGGACTCTCAGTTAGATAGGGATAAACTCCTTAAGAGCTTTATCTTTATCCAGACTGAGATCCTCTCCGTCCTAAGACTTTTATCTCTTATCCGCTCATCTCGAATTCTGGTATCTCCGCAGATAAACTTGGCCTAACTGAGATCACCTCGATGCATGGCCAGGCCATGTGGCACCTCGGCTGACACTTCGGCGTCACTTTGGCCACGTGCTATTATTCACAAAATATGTCCTCACAACTACTCCCTAGGCTTTATTACCTCGGCAACTTGAGGTGATAGAACCTACACCGCTTGCTTATACACCATATTGGCTAAAATTCATCATTCCCTTCTACCGAGGTCACGACTCGTCGATTTTAAGTTCCCAAGACTCAGCTGCCCATCTTTATCAAGGATTAGGAACCTAGAGTCAAGCTCTTTAAACATCTCAACCGAAATCGCTCCTCTAGCTAAGGTTTTTTCTTCATTAATCAAGAACTCCAAGGGTTTCGACTACGTATGAGCTGTCACGCATAGTTTACTCAACTGTTTCCTCTATGCGTACCTTTCTCATTGGTTCGTACCTAACATGCGCTATCAGGTCGCGTCACTTCTGCGCACGCCGCCTAATAGACACGTCGTCCAAGGCGTATTCATTTCTTTTTGCCGCCCTTTCGAAATTTAACAAAACTCTTTCTCTCTCTCTTTGCCTCTTCACTTTCGCAAAATTTGATTTCTTTCTCTTGTTCTCAAACTTTCACTCTCTAGATTCTCTCATTTTAGCGCCGACACTGACGTCGCGCTCTACCAAACGTACCAGCAGGCTGAACTCGTAGCCGCAAACGACAAGTTTCTGCAGTGTCGGCCTATGATCCGACCAATCCTCTCATTGCCCTTCCCGTCATTCATTTCGGTACCAAAGTTACAGTCGCTGCCACTGCCGACGAAATGGGCCGCAAACCAGCTGTCGTCGAGGACCTTTTAGCCAATATTCCTGGGGTAATGACTGCTCAGTCCTCTTCTTCTCCCTCTCAACCCAAGCCAAAGCCTAAGAGAGTCAAGAAGGCTAAGGCCAAGGCTATAGTGACTCAGATTGATTCTAAGGACACTATATTGATCTCAAAACTGCCAGAGTCTGAAAAAAAAATACTCCTGCTGCCGACAAGAGGCTAGCCGAGGCCCTATCGACCGACGCCCCTCCTGCAAAGAAACCAAGGTCTAACCACCCTAAAGGTAGCAGCATTTTTCCCCGTAGCATGATCTGGGCGCCCGAGGTCATGGTAGGGGACAGACCTCTGACAGTTAGTGATAGCGCGATCCAGGACGTGGAGGTCGGCCCCGCCTTGTCAACGGCTGTGCTCTTACGAGAAGATTTGAATCAAATGGCCGACCTCCACGAGCATGAGAACTTCGGCCTGATGATGCAGCACTCAGTTTTAGTAAGCCTCCTTATTTACTCTTTTATAGGCCCCGTTTGGTGTAGCTGTTAAAACAACTTATAAATTATAGCTTAACAGATTATAGATTATGACTTTAATCAGAAGTTGTTAATCTGTTTGGTGTAACTGTTGGATTATAGATTTAAGTTGCTGAGTAGTGTTTGTTAAATAAGCTGTGAAATAACTTTTTCAATTAATTTTTATTTTTTGTTTGTCTACATTTCTCATAAAAAATAATAATAATAATCTATAGTCCATTTGAGTCTTTTTCTATATTTAAAAAAATAAAAAAATAAAAAAAATTTAAGAGTATAACCATAAATTAACATGTCCACAGCAGAAGCTGATAATCAGAAGCAAGGGGTGAGCAGCTTCTCAGAATCAGCTTTTTTGAGTTAAAATAAGCTGTTAGAATCAGAAGCTGTTTGAAATAAGTTTAACCAAATAGTCTAAAATAACTTTTTCAAAGCTAAAAGCCATAAGTTGACTCTGAAAAGCTGAAACAAACACCTCCATAGTCTTTCAACACTTAGTCAAATTTTTCATAATCTATTTCAATTTTTGCTGGCCATCCAGTACCCGCATTCATACGCGGTCAAGACAGAGATGACAAGAAAAGAGTTGGCAAAGAAAACTCCAGAAGCTGTCAAACACCCGTTGTCACGCCCTAAACTTGCCCCTAAAAGTTTGGGCATGACCTACACAGAAACGGACGCATACCCTGGTATACATATCATATGGGGCCTGAACGGAAGCATTTACCAATATAAATTAACATAAATAAAAGAACTGCATCCATTGAGCGACCACTATCATGCCAGGATCACAGACAGAACATAAGGCAAATAAACATACAGTGACGTGCACCAGAGAGTTAGTTATGTACATATATATATATATATATATACAGACC